CAAAATAGAGGACTTCACGCCGAGTTAGAGTGAAGGTTGTTAAGGACCTGAAATGTCCTTGTCTTCCATAAAGAAGTGCGACTGGGTTAAATCACCGACACGTAACGTCCCTCATGAGGAATTTGTGGATCAGATACTTCTTGGTCAGAGTAACTTGACTGTAGGGACTTGGGGAAAATGCTCATGGAAGCAAAGAACAGTGGTGGTAAAAGACACCTCAGAAATCCTTGGGTCACTTTCTGCCCTTTCACTGGTGGGAATATTGAAGCCAAGAAAAGTTAGACGGCTTTCCCAAGATCAGAAGGCCGGGAGTAGAAGGCTACCTACTCTCTAGCCGTACCTGATGATTACCTCGTCAGACTTTTTTCTGACCCCAAATTCTGTAAAAATCTATGAAAATAACCAAAGCAAAAGCCAGTCAAGGAAATGGCATTATCTGAATGAGATCCTTGAAGTGAGGAGCCGTGCCTGTCCGTCTGTAGGCCCCCGGTGCCTGGCTAGCGCCTCACCCACCCTGGGCGGCCGGCTGACTCTCGTGGTAGAAAAGGAACTTCTTAGCGACGTCCGATGCTGTGTGAGCAGCGTGCGCGCCGAGCTGTCCCTCAGAATATTTGCTGTGATCACTTGACGATTAAAACCACCAAGGGTAGGAAAACATCCATTCGTTGTTTGCCAGGATTAGAAAAACAGATTTCTACATTTTGGACTTTTGTGGAGCCTGGTTTATTTTGGGGGGTTACATGGCCCCTCCCAAGTAGGATTTCTTCCGAGATGCAGTGGAACCTTGTTCATCTCCCGAGATTTTGTGTCGAGCGACCGTCTGAGGTCTGGTTTACCCACGTGCAGGTTGGCTTTTGCCTGCTGTTGTTTTCTTTTATCAAAGGTCTTCTTTTCTTTACTGCACCAATAAAACACAGTTATGAGACCGTGACTTAGGAGCGCACCATGCGCAGCGTCTTAGCCAGTGGGACCTGGGAGACGCCCATCGCCGGAGGGTTCCCTTCCCTGCCAGGGAAATCCATGGGCCACACAGAATACAGTTTTGGATAATATGGAAAACGTCCCCCAAAGCTTCACTCTGCTGTTATATTCCTCTCACATCCAGTGAGTGTAGAAATACAGCTCATGGCATTTTAGTGGCGTTTTCCTTAGTGTACACTGCACAACTTTTAATTTTTTTTCGAGTTTTTGACACTTGCGTCTGCCAAAACTTCAGGGATGCCGTCAACACAGACAATGTTGGGCTCGTTGGGAAAACCTTCTAGTGTAACGGAGGGATTTGTCCTCTGTTTTGACAACTTGATATAGTTATTAAGCTTTGCATATTGAAGATAAGTTTAATTTCAGAGACCCTGGACCGAGATGCAAGTGTTGCCTGTTTGGTTACTCAGAATTCTCAGCCTGGGACGGCCCCTTATCTGCCATCGAACTCCCCGGGGCTCTGAATTTCATACCCTCACAATTGCTTTCCGTTTCTACGCTGGGCGAAAGTTAAGCATCCTGGTCTCTTTTGCCTAATGGCTCATGGCTCATGGTTTCGTGCCTCTGTGTGAGGCATGAATATTTTGGAATTTGTCCTAATGACCATTCGGTATAACCATGTGCAGTCGTGCTTGGATTTTCAGGGTGATCGCTAGTGGGAAAATGCAGATCTCACTTGCCATACAAGAAGCAATTCCGATGGAGCAATGTGCCTACTTAGAAGGAAGCAGTAGGGCGCTCGCTTCAAGAAATGGACCATCTGGGACGTGGGGTTTCCTGTTCACGCGAAAGTTACGTGAGAGCCTGCGTTACCCGTGGCTTAGCCGACGTGTCTAGACGTGAGGAAGGTGGTGGGATTGTACACAGGACCCTGTTAAAATTTCTATTTTAATAGCACATGAATAGGTCAATTAGAAAATGAAAATTCAGAAGTGAAACCATCAATTGGGAGTAATTAAAAAGCGATGCCGTGGGGGGAAACGGAAAAGAGGCATTTTTAGGGCTTGCCAAGCGTTTTCACACAGGTTCGCCCCTCGATCCTGCCGCCCGGTGAGGCGCGGGCGGCAGATCTTCCGTTGCCCTCGGCCACCACTGAGACTTGTCCGGGGCTGCACCGTGATTCGCGGCCGAGGTGGGGACAGAAGGAGCCCTTCGGACGCCGCGTCCCCGCTGTACTGTCTGCTGCTGCCTTTCCGTGCTTTCCGAGACCCGGCGCTGACACGTGGCTCACTGATGACAGTGGGCGCGACGCGGCGGCCGCAGGTCACTCTCCTCCCAAGACCAGCTGCACACAGGGCCTTCGTCCTGGCCTCCCTCTGTCGCCGCCACTTTGGCTCTGTTGCGTGCATTCCCCAGAGCTGCCAGAGCAATTCCCAAGATAGTGCCTGCTACAGGCTCTCTCCATCTCTCTACACATCCGTCTGTCCGTCCGTCCACCCACCCAGTCGGTAAACTGACTTGTGTATTTGCCTCTATTCCCGCAATTCATGGCCCCCCCTGTACATCTCGCTCCCCTCACGCTCAGACTGTGTCTCTCTGACAGTTTGACAGTGGCTGGGCAGGGTGACGGTCACTTGGGCCGTCACCCACGCATGATAAATTGCGTAGTAACCTCCACAGCACCACGGTGCATACACTGACTGTGTTTAGGGCATTGTAACTTGGGAGAATTTCAGTCTTTCATAAATAACCATTCATCTGTCCCTTTTAGCATTCAGCTTTCCACACCTGTTTCCAATTGTTCTGCGCTATTCCAGGAGCCTGTGAAAGCTCCGATCCAGGTGGTATTATGGGGATAAATGAGCCACAGGGAAAAGTCACTGTATTTTTCTTAAAGCAATTCTGTCTCCTTTTCACAAAGTTAGGAGCCAAGTAATTTGCGATTAAGACTTTTGTAGGACGTCCTCTGTCATTTTAAGCTATCTGTCTCCATGGGTTTAAAAAGTGCAGTTTTGGCTCTGCCGACCTAGCACCCATTAGTATTTTCCTCTGTACTGGTGGATTGTAAATACCATTTCTACCAGCATATTTAAAATGGTTTTAGTTCATTATGATTCACTGTGGATTCTTATGAAAGAAGAATGAGAAATAGTTATAAGCTAAGGTCAGTTGGAAATAATTAAGAGTCTGCGGATGCATTTATATTGACGGGGTTCCGGGATTTGAGGGAAAGGTGTCAATAATTTTAGTTTGATGCAGTTTTCTACAGGAGGCAGTTTGCTTTTCAGGGAAAGAAGGCATTATTTTATGAATTATGATGTAATATTATTTTGCTTCCTGTCTGCTCCAGTGTGATTAATGAAGATTATAAAGTTGCATCTTTTCTTGCCATTTACGGCCCATACCCGGTTTCTCAGGTTCTTTCCAAAAAAAATATTTTCATAGGAACGACCCAACCTGTACTGTTCGATTTTACTGAAGTCCCATCGCATGATCTAGAGAGTGCCCTGCAGAATAAATGCATAAAAGATAGCGCTGTAGGGCGCATCAGATGACGCTGGGAAAGAGACGTGTTTTCAGGTTGACCTTGACGTTGCTAACAGACTCCCAAGGACGACTATCAGGTGGGAGGGGAACTGAAAGAGGTGTCCGATCTCTGGCATTTGGAGTAGGCACAAAAGGAACGACTAGCGGAAGATCTGACCCAGAATAAAATGCCCACATGGGAATGCAAAGGCGAAGGAAATTCAGCTCCAGGTCTCCCATCAAGGTCAGTAAAAATTTCAGAGAGATCAAAACGTAAAGTGCACAAAATGATTGGCTTCGAGGACGGTGGATTTCACAGCGAGAGCCTGCTGTGCCATCCGGGCGGAGGGGGTTGACAGCTGCTCCCCCATTGGCATTAATGAATTAGCAATGTGCTCCCAGACACACCCACCGGGGAGCCACAGACAGCCCCCCTCCTCACTGCTTCCAAATGTGGGGGTGGCTGGTCCCTTAGTGAGGGGGACAGTCACTGAACGGCACATGCCATCTTTCAGAGCTACAACTGGCATCTCCCAGGAACTTGGGACAAAGTGCAACTTTATACATCTCTTAGACTACGTTAAATTAGCGCTCACTCCTGTCATCTAAGGACGTCCGTGACCGTAAGGAAATGTAACCTGCACTGCTAGGGTATTTCGTTAAGGAGCAAACAATTTGGAATGGCCTGGGGACTTGGCTTAGTGACGATCTCCCCCTCCTGAGAGGCCCCAGCGTCGCGCCTGAAATGCAGCGATGGGGAACTGCGCGGTGGCCTGTGCAGTCGCCGTGTGTCCCGGTGTACCCCGCCCTGCCTCCTCACGCCTTGTGTCCTGATGTAGTTAATCATCACGACCCGCCACGCTCAGAAGACCTGGTGTGGGTAGAAAGTATATGGTCCCCTAGTTTTAGGACATTTGTTCATTATGTGGCCATGGAGACCTCTCCCTCTACCGTCCAGCATGGCTCCCATCCGTGCCTTTCAGGAGGAACCCTTGGTTCTACAGAGGAAGAAACACAAATGATGGGCCAGTCCGTGCACCGTCAGAAACTGAAAAATCCGTTACGTGTCCCCTGCTCTCCCATCTTTCATGTTTCTACGTCTCTTGACCCGTCTCTTGTCTGGGAGCGGCATTCTCATGAGTTCCGTCAGCAACACCAGCAGTCACCAAGTGAATCGAATTCCCAATTAATTATGGAGCCTGCACAAAACCAATGTGATCTACTTGTAATGATGAACGTGAAGTTGGAAAATACAATATTGCTTGTTGTCTCTGTGTAGGATCGGGGGCTATAAAGTGAACAAAATTGAACGGTAGATTGGAAAGTCAAGCTTGAATTCTTGTTTTATACTCATGACTTGAAACCACACGTAACATTTAACCATTTTAAACCCTCTCTGCTTATTGCGTCCCTCCCTGAGCCATAGCAGGTTAGTTGGCTAGAACGTGTCAGTCATTCTGAGGATCCTGAGCGACCACGTTGTGTACGTAGTATTATGGGATTATCATTTGTAGTCCATTTGTTCTCATGTTGACATTTTTCTTCTAATTTAGGGTAGAAATCTAGCATCTGGAGAGGTTGGATTTTTCCCAAGTGATGCTGTCAAGCCCTGTCCATGCGTACGTATGAGTATTTTATTTCTTCTATTTTGTTTTGGCTGTTGTAATTCATTGCGCAAGAATGTACAGTAATACTTGTCTGGTTGCTTGTTAATACTTTCTGGAGTGATCATATTATTTCGCGTTTGAATGATATGTGCAATGTTAATAAAATTCCCAAATCATTATGATTCGATTGTGAGAAAAATATTTATACAAGTTAGGGGAACATAGGCAAGAAGAAAATTTAACTTAGCAGAATTTACGAGATTACATTGTCTACAAGGTCTTAGAAGGAATAGCCAAAGCTACAGATGAGATGCTCTGTCCAAGTCTCCCTTTCCCCACCCAGGGGAGATGGTAGGGCCCGACCTGCTCCCGCTCCCGCTCCCGCCGGCCTGCGGAGGAACTGCCCCTGAACGAGTGCGTTGAAGGCGCGAAAGCCGCAGATTCTCCAGTTGAATCTCAAAGTGCCTTCTGCTGTGCTTTAGTTTCTCGTTGCCGTTTATGTAACGTTCTAATGACACTTCATGGAGTCATCAAACCCCTTGGGTAGATGCGAGGAGAACGAAGCGTAGTTATTGTTATTAATAAAGTCACCCCAGCATTATTATGGGTGACTGTAATGCAGCGTCCTGTCTAATGCTTTATGGGATTCATGGACCTCTGTTAGGGGCGACGTTATTTTATCATCATAATTGGGTGTTGAGGGTGGATTTCCCTACGGAACTTTTAAAGTTCTTGATTCTAGGTAAAGAAAATGTTTTTTACTAATTTAATGGAGCTGATGGTTTGGAAAAAGGAAACCACCCTCCGTCTGCCTTGGCTGCTGTATCTCAGTCCTCTCTGGCTCTCTGAATGGGTCCGTCTTTTTGATGTTATAAACGTGAGTGTCCGCCACTCATGAAAAATTTCTGAACACGAGACAACCTGTCTGTACTGCCAGCCTTTTGTTAGGCGTTTACTAACTTTGCCCATCCACACAGTAGTAGTTATTTTATTTGTTATTTTATGAATATTGACTTTGTTCATTTTCTAGTTTCCATGAGCACCCGGAAGAAGTTTTCTGTCTTCATTAGCATAGAAAATGTAATATTTTCTCTCTTGCAGAGCTCTATAGGAGAAAAAGGGGAAAATGAATCTTTCCCATGATTCTTTCACGAATAAAAGGTTTTCCAGGTGGTAGACTTCACAAACCAGAGCTTAGCGCCCGTGTTACCAACGAAGAGGGTGTCTGCAGGACATGGTGTTTGTTCTGCCTGTTTCTCAGTGTCTTGGGAAAGCAGGATACTGCTTGGTTTCCCTCACATTTTCTTTTTAATTTTCCACGATAGAATGAAACCACCTTGATAATAAATACCCAAAGTTTCCAGGTCCTATTTCTCCTGTTCTCTCTCCCCTGGGAGGTACAGTGGCAGTAAAATGAATGAAGGGATGAATTAAATCGCGATGAATGATCCTCTCCTCACCTGACACAGACTGTGATTCACTCTGTGTGAAACGGCCAGCGGGCAGACCCGGGCCCGTGCTGCTTAGGGTTTTGTAGCTGAGTCAGCGGAACTGAGTTAATGATTGATCTCTGAAAGCTTCCCTTAAGTAAACTTAATCTTTTGTGGCCTTTTTATATCCTAGGTGCCCAAACCAGTAGATTATTCTTGCCAACCTTGGTAAGTATTAGAAACGCTTGTGCAGCTAACTCTTAATGCCATAGCCGTAGTTCAAGGGCGCCTGAACGGGGTGGGCGCGAAACCACATTCCATTTCCATTTGCTGGACGGAGGTGTGTTGAGACGCAGCAAAGCACCGTAATGAGTGTGTTGCCGACCTTTGCATGTGTTTACTGGGGTGGTGTGCGCGGGACGGTCAGCTCCGAGCCTGTAACAGCCACAGAAAGGAATAGGACATAGGCTTACTGTGTCTACTTCAAATAAATAGTCGATGTTAGAGGTGGGTATTTACACCGAGTTGCACGTGTCTATATGTGAATCAGAGAATTTTCTGGAATATTAATTGACGAATAACTTTGAAAGAGCGCCAATCTAAACATAATTTTTTTCCTTTATTTTTTATTGCCCCAAATTTCTGACCTGTTTTGCCAGTGATTGCTCACTGAACCTGTATGTGATGTAAAAGGTCACTAAAGACTATTTTAACATTGAATTGGGGCTCTTAATTATTATGGTTATTGTTATGGAATTTGAGTATGTTCAAGGTCAACGTAGTTTAAAAAGAACTGAATTCTGGTTTTGAAAAAAAATCTTTTAAAGACATATTTTACTCAGTACTGCTGACTGCTTAAGAAAATGGCTTATCCAGTGTGCGGACTACCAGAATTAATCTTTTATCTAAAAAAATAATTTTTGAAAATAATTTTGTTTTTGGAATTTTCTTGAGAAAAATGTTCAAAGTAGACTCTATTTCATAGTGTACATAGAAAAGGTGAAGTTTGGGGTTGTGTGTGTATATATGTGTGTGTCTTACGCAGGGCAGCCCTTCCCTGAACTCCCTAATCTTTCTTTCTAACCCAGTACCTATTGGCTCCTCTCTTCGTCTCATTTATTTATTGGATAAATATTTTCTGGGTGCTTACTGTGTATTAAGCGTTGCTCACTTTACTCCTGTTAGCTCTGTAGAACCTCTGTGTTTGGACGAACTAAAGGATGTCTCCCTGCATTAATTTTTTGAAGCAATGGAATTAGTCGATACAGAAGTCAAAAGAGCTCAGATCTGCCACTAAATTAAAATCCTGATGGGTACTTATTTTTAGCTTTGGTTCTTTCCCAGGTATTTATGCAAATGTTCTGTCGTTGTTCCTTACAGGTATGCCGGAGCTATGGAGAGGTTGCAGGCAGAGACCGAACTTATTAATAGGGTGAACAGTACTTACCTGGTGAGGCACAGGACCAAAGAGTCAGGAGAATATGCCATTAGCATTAAGTAAGTAGGACAAATACTTTCACAGAAAAAGATTCTCTGTTTCCATAATTGCGCAGACCATCTGACATGGGTAACACTGGAGTTGAAAACCAAGGTTCTAATTACAGTAGAAATAATGCTTCTATCCAGACAGTTCATTAATAGTTGAAAACATCTGTTAGAAAAACACTATGAAGTGTTGCAGGCTGCTGATTGGCACATTAGGTCTCTTTCATAACCGTGTATTTGGGTGACTTGACGTGTGTATGTTTTTAGTAAATTCTGAGAATGTCAATGACTAGATTTTGTTTTCTTTTTCTGCATTCTCCAGTGGAACTAACTAAACACATAACGACCGGTCCAATCTAATGCCCCTTCTCACTTCAGATACCGGTTGTATCTTCAGCCAATCTAGTAAATATATTTTGTTAATTAGCTGTCACCGCTGTATTGGCAAAGGTATATATTTTGTCTTCCGAATTAATTCCTGTAACGTTATGGGGGCATGCCCTCTGGTCGTTATTGATTTCTTCTGATTAAAAACACATTTATATTCATAAGTTATTCATTGCCCACAGGTACAATAATGAAGCCAAGCACATCAAGATTGTAACAAGAGACGGCTTATTCCACATTGCAGAAAACAGAAAATTCAGAAGTTTAATGGTAAGCATTGATTTGTTCTTTCCAATCTGTGGGCCTCACTTTTCTCTTATTAGAAAGGTCAGTGTAATTTCTACAGCTTCATGGAAATTCTGATCACTGAAAAGTTGTTTGAAGAGAATTATACTATAATTTTGCAACAGATCATGAAAGTTCTAACTTCAAGAATTACGATCTTTTTATACTTCTTACGTTTAGCGTCATTCCATACAAAATGCAATATACTGTCACGTAGGAAAACTTTTTTTATTTTCTGCTGATTTAAGTGATCTGTGTTCTCCTTCATTGCCTTGCACAACTAAACATTAATAAGGTAACATTTTTACCACACAACAATCTCATAGGAACTTTTTAAAAATATATGTTTGTATTGATTTTTTTAGAGAGAGAGAAAGGGAGAGAAAGATAGAAATATCGATCAGCTGCCTCCTGCAACCGAGGCATGTACCCTGATTGGGAATCGAACTGGCGACCTCCTGGTGCATGGGCTGACACTCAACCAACTGACCCGCACCAGCTGGGCTCATAGGAACTTTATATTTAAATTGAAATAGTATATTGTTACCAATTTGCTTCATATGGAAAAAAGAGATTATTTTATTAATTACTGCAAGTTNATTTAAATTGAAATAGTATATTGTTACCAATTTGCTTCATATGGAAAAAAAAGAGATTATTTTATTAATTACTGCAAGTGAATACATTACAACCTAATAATTTTATTGGTGTATAAGAATATTATGTGTATGCCATATGAACAATGCATATGTCCCATTATACTGTATATGCATTGCTGATAGTAAAAAAGCTCATATTTCTGTAAGAGTGGTCTCAAGCCTGTTTCTCAAGTTCGAGAGAGTGTCTGGAGATAATGAAGAATTTGGATACAGGACATGAGGCGCACTGGTAGGTGGTGCTCTCCCGAGCACTCTGAGTAACATCGGGAAGGCCCACTTATTGATCTTCAGTCAGTGAAGTGAGATGTGCTGCAGCCTTCCGGAAAACATCTCAAAGCACTTTGCAGATGTTAACAACAAAGTTAAAACGGAGAGCGAGCGAGCCTCGCAAAGCAGGCCAGCGAGGAAGCCTCGTCCCCAAACCTGGAGCCACCGCAAGACAGGAGTCAGCGTTTGCAAGAAAGTGAAGCATCTTGAGTTGAAAGAAAAGTAAGAAAACCCCTCTGGACATAAATATCATATCCTGGAAAATGGAAACTCTCATATTGGTGACCAGGCATCCTCCTACCCGCAGGCAGCGACTCACATGCTGTTGGAACCAGCAGACTGTGCACAGAGAGGATGGGACCTGAGGAGCTTCTACCCAACATGAAAGCCTGGGGGGCGGGGAGAAGGGGGCGCCCCAATACTGAGCGACAGCCCCAGCTGAGACACGATCAAAGCTTGCATGTGGGGGGGGGGTCTCCTTATCGCCGCAAGACTCGCCAACTTGAGTCTGCACCTGCAGGACTTCCGCGGATGGTAACGAGGCTGCTCCACAGTATCACAGTTAATGGGAGGCTTCGAAAATCTGCCGTAGGACCAACGATGAGCTTCAGCCTGTGGACCCGGAAAGTAACAAAGGAAACTCCCGTCAGAGGAGACGAGTGAACAGGAGGAAAGGAACAGCCGCTGGAAAGGGCCGAACAGTTCAGCTTCGGGCCACCTGGGCTCAGCTCCAGAAAGTCCTTCAGCAGCTACGGTTCGATGTGAAAAGCCAGTAACCCCACAGTGGCCGGATTAGTAGACGTAGGCCCTTGGTTGCTGTCTGCATAACAAGCAGTGGAGACCCAGAACTCAAATAATTTTTACCAGACAACAGTGAATGCTTCTGCGTGATGTCCTGGAAAGGGCATTAAAAGCACCTGTCACAGAGCTAAAGTGAGCCACCCTTATACGATAGGCGTAGGGGATCAGAAATGCCACTGCTAGAGACATACACATACTACATTTCCCTCTGTGCCCTGGGATCTTCTGTGGGGAAGCACATAGCACAGTGGGCTCAAGGGAGGGGCTTAAGAATTAATAGCAAAACTGTGATGAAACTACAAAACATTAGCGAAGGATAGACCGTCGTACCGTGTAACTGTTTCGGTCAGCGACGCACTGCATCTACGACAGCAGTCCTGTAGGATTAAAGTGGAGCTGAAAGTTCCTATCACCTGGTGACCCGGTAGGGCGACGGGCGACTCTGTGGTGACGCAGGTGTAACAGACCTGCTGCGTTACCACTCATATAAAAGTGTAGCACGTACATGATCCTTGAAAATGACAATAAGCAGTTTGTTACTAGTTTAGGTATTGACTACACTTTCAATCATCATTTTAGTGTACTCTCTCTACTTATAAAAAAAGCTGGCTGTCCAACAGTGTGCCAGGCTATGCCAGCAGCGGCCTCTTACATAGCCTCTCGATGGCATCATTTTCTCTTGTGCTTGATTTAATCTCGTGTTTTTCTGCGCAGTGTGGCCCCTGAGCGTTAGCATGATGAAATCGCCTCAGGGTGCGTTTCTGAGCACGCATCCCCGTCATTAGGCGACTCATGACTGTAATTGTAAAAGGAATGAAAGATGAGCTGATAGGTCTTAGGAAAATACTTTTTGCCAGGTTTAGTAAATGACTGTAAAAAAGTGATGAGGGAGATAGCCGAACGAGCCTGGAGCTGCCCCTGCTCTGTGTTTTTGTTTGTTGAACAGTTTTACGTTGAGTCCTTATTATGTGAAATCACTGTGTTTTTGCAGAATTCAAAAAGGACACCACTGTGTTATAAAAATGCTTTCAAATTAGTATGTCCAGCTGTACCAAGAACCTCACAATAGTGCTGTCCTTTGACCCCAAACTAGGAAATACTCTGTGGCTCCTGACAGTAACCAGCCCCTTGGGAAGGAGGTAGTGGGTTAATCGGCACCGTCACTCTGGCAACGTAGGGACTCCCTAAACCAGGACCACCCAACTTCATGGAGTTACCTATTTATTTTTTATTTTTTGGTTGACCTTCACCCGAGGATATTTTTTCCACCGATTTTTAGAGAGAGTGGAGGAGAGGGGGAGGGGAGAGAGAGAGAGGAAGAGAGAAACATTGATGTGAGAGAGACACATCGATTGGTTGCCTCCCGCACGTGCCCAAATGGCCGGGGATCGACCCTGCAACCCAGGTGCGTGCCCTTGACTGGGAATCAAACCCATGACCCTCCAGTGCACAGGCTGATGCTCTAACCACTGAGCCACACCGGCCAGGCCAGAGTTACCTTTTATGATGTTGGCGTCAAATAGCACCATTCCCAGTATAAGCAGGGTCTGTGATTTTGCGTAGTTGTCTCTCCAGAACAGTTCACCGCCCTCCCATCATTGGCGGGAGAGTTATGTCCCACCTGTGAAACTGCTTAGGGTCCAGATTTAAATTTAAATTTGGAAAGGGTGTAAACCACAGTTGCACAGAACTGGTTTTAGGTGAGCCAGCCCCTCAAAGAGAAGATTGGCCTTGGGTGGGTGTGACCTCACTTGCTTTCCCTTGGGTGTCCGTTACTTGGTGAATCGAGATTTTTTTTGTTTTTTCCTAGTCACTAAATTCAAATTCTAAGTGAATGTCTGTATCCAGATTACAAGGCATTAATTTTGTTCTAATTGTCATGTATGCCAGACAATCCAGGTCCAAGTGCTGTTTATAAACCATCCCTGTTGCCTGTTGCCTTGGTAACCGGAGTGCCTGGCTCTCATTATTTTTTAGAGACAGGAGCTGCGGACGCCTCCGTGTGCGTGTGCGATAAGGGAAGCTTAGCCCTGCCTTTTGTTTTGAGTCATCTTATTTACTTGTAGTACCTGAAGGTCAACGACTGCGAGGCGGGTGGGTTAGGCTACAGTACAGAGGCACAGAGGCGTGAACTGGAAAAGCCCGCGGCGGCACTGTGTAGTTCCAGTTCCCCTGCTTAGAAACGGGCAGGGACGGGCCCTCATCGGAGTGGAGAGGGGCAGCTAACGTCTGTCCCGTGAGATGGTAAAGAAGCGTCTGGCAGCTTCCTCGGCCTCAGGACCCTTGGCCTTCGAAAATTCGTTTTGCTTTGGTAACATTTGGGGGCGGGTAGGCATTAAATGATCCCTGGGTCCTTCTCAGGATGACAATTCTAGAGTTTCTAGCCAACTTCACATAAACTTAAATTCAGATTAATTTTTTAATATAACACATAAAATCCATACTACCTGTAACAAAATTACATTGAAGTCCCAAGTTACTGGCTTATTCCTTTCAGTTTTATTTTTGTATTTTTACATTTTTACTCGGTTTAAATAACAAGCCTGAAAGAACAGCTCTCTGATGTCCTTTGAAGCATCCTCACAATGTACATGTGTGCAGCTCTTTCGGAGACCTTGCAGAAGCTCCCCTCTTATTTAAAAGGGCCTTATCTTCATGTTTGTGACCCCGGGAGCTCCCCACACAGTGCATTCCACCCTCAGCTGAGTTTGCTCATAAATGATTCATGTTTCATTGATGATTCTCTATTCCTTCTTCCGGGTGACTTTTGGCCTGATTGATTTTTTGGGGGGAACTTTGAACATAACTACTGAATGGAAATACTGAGTTGACATCAGTGTGATTTTTTAGAAGAAATGAGTTGGTTTGACACTGTTTTTCAGCAGTTGTACTGCAATAGAAGCCACAGATAATTTGGTTCAAAGTGATTCTGCTTTTATTTTCAGTTCAGCTGTTTGTAAGAGATGTTATAGCTCCAGTATCATCTAATGATAATATACATTTTTTTCCCATTACAGATTTATTATTATTTAATTTCTGTTTAAAGTAGAGGGATTCGGATTTGTGCAGAATCCATGAAACCAGCATGTCAAAAGAAATTTCCTGAAATTTTAGTATGAAAGATGGTGGGAGGTTATTATACTGGGCTCAGGTGTATTTAAGGCAAATGAGGTGTCAGAGAAAATTGGAGGGGACCACGTTACTGGCCTCTGTAAGCACCAGGAGCTACGCAGGGCTAGAAGATGGGCTCCCCCACACTTCATCGTCAGCCACCGAAGCAACATCAAGTTGATCAGCTTTGGTGGTTTATCAACTTTGGTTCCCTATGGAAAAGTACATCGACAATCAAGTTTGTTTTTCTGAGACGTTGAAAGAAAATGCAGGAAACTAGAAATTGCTATATATTCAGCAGACAGCTGTTCCCTTTATTTTTGTATAGAAAGGCAAGTATTTCATAAATAGGAGCAGTAATTACCGTTCTGAAATCGAGGTTGAGGATGGTTTCTTCCGCATCTGACGGAAATCTAACCGGATGCTCCCTGCCCCTGAGCAGCAATAGGGGGAACTGCCATTGCGCAGGCCCGAGTGGCAGAGACAGTTACTGGGCAGCAGGGAGCGATTATTACTTACTTTTGCGTAGACTTATGGAAAATTTAGCATTGAATGGATCATCCTTACACATAAATAAGTACATGTGAAGGAGTCTGTGTGTCTGAGAAAAGACCTGGCCTTATTAAAAATGATCTTTTATTCGTTTCACCCAAAGGAACTCGTGGAGTATTACAAGCATCACTCCCTGAAAGAGGGGTTCAGAACCTTGGATACGACCCTGCAGTTTCCCTACAAGGAGCCGGAGCACTCAGCTGGACAGAGGGGGAGCAGAGTGGGCAACAGCTGTGAGTATCGTCATTTAGGGCACCGTTGCCTGCCGGTTAATGAGCGGAGGCACAATGACATTAAACATCTTTCTCCCGAAGTTTGAAATATAAAGCAATTAATATGCTAATGCCTCGAGCAAGGGATTTTTTGAGCAAAGCAGAATCAGATGGACCCACAGGTTTATGAGCATTTCTAGATAAGTTCTTTGGGCCAGATTAAAAATCATGCTTGTGTTCAGAGCTCCATCAGAAATGTAAAGGGTATGCTACTATGCAAGCCTTATACTTTTCAATGACTTTTACATCAGCCAAACTCCTTTTTTTTTTTTTTCTTTTCAAATCCTTACCTGAGGATATGCTTATTGATCTTTATTAGAGAGCGGGGAAGGGAAAAAGAGAGAGAAACATCGATCGGTTGCCTCCTGTATGTGCCCGGATCGGGGATTGAACCTGTAACCTGGGTATGTGCCCTGACCAGGAATCAAACCTGCAGCCTTCCCGTGTATGGGCCGACACTCCAACCAGGGGAGCCGCACCAGCCAGGGCAGCCAAACTCTTTAATTTACATATGTTTGTGGTCATAATGCCATGCCCAGCTCTCTCACCCAGCCGACCATCCCCCGTCTCCTTACGATTCCCTTTCAAAGATTACTTCTGGGATCGTGGTTGCTCTGACGCCAGTATATGTGAAAGTGTCCATCAGCCACTTTCTTTGAGGCCGAGCACTGTGCCACCCGCGCCCGGTCATCGAGGGTTAGCACACAGACCAAAGCAGGCTCTAGTAGGAGTCTGAGTTAAGGCAGAGACCTTTTTCTCATCACTGCTTAATGTCATATCACCTTCCTGGAGGTGGTGAGAGAGACCTTCGGGATGGCCTGTAGGGAGCTTGTAGAGAGACCATCAGGATGAAAAATGTTGGGAATAAAACATGATTTCATTCTTTTGTTTTGATATCTTTTTTTTTTTTAAATAAACCTGTTTTGGAGGCAAAATGAATACAGTTTTATTACTTTTAGAATCCTTAGCCTAAGCAAAACTGGAATTTCCAGAGGTGTTTCAAAAAAGAATTTACATCAGTGTAATATAACTCTAACTTTTTCTCCCCCTAAACCCAGAAACTGAAAGAAAAACAGGCAACGTTCAGGGCTCTAACAGCGCCAGTAAAATTTCATACACTTCATATAAGTAAAAATTCAAGGAATTCATCACATGCACTGGCAGGTTTGGCGTTTGTTTGAATAACTTAATAGCTGTTCTCTTCACAAGGATTCGTGATAAATGGCCACGCGTTGCAGTCAGAGGAGTCAGAGCCCACATGAGGTGGAAACGTCAAACACCTATTAAAAGTTATCTATTTTTTAGCCCACTGCTACCCAGGTCTCCTAGGTTCTTATAGGTGTACCCGAGGGCTTATGTATTCGAAAGGGCACTGAACTGAGTTTTTGCCTCTCCTGCCGCACAGTGAGCACTTAATTATTTCCAGGTCTGCTCCTGAGTAGCTCTCTGACCTCTCATAGCTTGTCCGGGCCTTGCATGTTCATCCGATGAACGCGGAATGAGATTAAATATGTTAATACACTCTTTTAAAGATAGCATCTTAGACTTCTTCCTCTGTACACGAGAGGGAGGTAAAGGGGGATGTTAATAGACCAATTACACTGGGGAAAGTTGCACAATGAGCTATTTCATAACCCATACGCAGACCTCAAACATTTTCCCAAGTTCTTATTAATTGGACTACAGGGTAGAGTTGGCTAATTTTTTGTTTTAATGTTGGTTATTACTGTATTTAGATAATCTCAAAGTATCTTCTCATAAGAACGTAATCACAGTTAACATCAAGAATGAGACAGATACCATATACCTCCCAATGAGATTCCCCAAGAACACAGCACACTTCGGTGGGCTGTTTCCAAAAGGCATAATCTGAGTCTAATCCCGAGGCAACACCACACAAACCCAAACTGAAGGACATCCTTCAAAAGAATCGGCCTGTGCTCTTCAAAAGGGTCAACATCATGCAAGGCGAAGGAGGCCGGAGGGAGTGTTTCAGATTCAGTGAGACTGTAGAGTCCTGACAGCGACCTTCAACATGTGATCCTGGGTGCGTCGAATCCTGGACTAGAAATAGATAAGTTGTGTTTTTTTTTTTTTTAACATAAAGAACATACGTGGCACAGTGAACAGATTTTGAATTGGTTTCTTGATAAAGTAATAATATTTTTTTTGCTTTTTATAACTGGACTGTGATTATATAAGAAGAAACCTTTGTTTTTAGCGAGTACACACGGAAGTATTTAGAAATGAAGGAACTTCATATGTGTAAGGAATGAGAAGGCTGCCCCTGTGCTGGGAGCACAGCGAGTGGCGCCCGGTCTGATGGAAGTGTCTGAAGGCTTTATAGCAGGAAAGGGCATGAGTGATGGTCGTTGTTTGAAAAGCTCACCGGCTACTCTGAGGACTGGCTGGAAGGGGGCAGGGGCAGAAAAGGGAGAAGTCAAGAGGCAGCCGCAGATGTCCATGGGAGGCACACTGGTGGCTTTAGTGACAGTGGAGCAGGACACGGGCAGATCTGAGTATATTCTGGAGGTCGGTCGAAGCGATCGGATGAAGGAGTTGGGGTGGAATTAGTCCCAGTCGATATGCGAGTACTTGCCTTGGACAGCTGGCAGATGGAAGACCCTGGTGGACCAGGAGACAGGAGCGCAACGGGCATGGCGAGAAGTGCTGGGAGCTGCACGTACCCGGTGGTCCAGCAGGGATCTGGCACCGAGGAGAGGTGGTCTGGGTCGAAGGCAGGAGTTTTAGGAGCCACTGACACTCATTTCATGGTTTGCACAGAACAGAGGCCCGAGCAGCCGGCCGCCGTGGCTTATCTGGACGCGCTTCGCACGGTGCCCTTCGCGAAGCCTCAGCGAGCGTCAGGGCCTGAGGGCCGCGGGAGACAGAGCCGGTATTAAAGCGCCGAGTGTCGCTGACACTTGAGAAAGCTTGGAAAGATGGGTGGGTTTGCAAACACAATATAGATTAGCGTGTTCCCTGTGATGTGGTGACAAATTAAATTAGAGTAATTCTTCAAAAACTGACACGGGCATCCTGGGTCACTGCGACCATACAAATGACCTTGCAGGAAAAAATACAAGTCAGAGCCAGCGCCTGGGGACAGCCAGTGCAAAGGAGGGTGTCATAGAGGACATGCGGCCAGAGCAGAGGGGACAAGGGGGACAGCAGCAGGGTGAGGCTGCTGTAAAGGAAGCCGGACTGCTGCGACCTGATAGGACCGGGGCTTTTACTCTCGAGAATGGGCAGCTTTGGAGGGACTTAAGCAAAGGAGAGACATGGTCTGACGTAAAGTGTTAACAGGCTTCTTCTGGTTTCTCTGTTTAAAAAACAACAACAAAAACATGGGAAAAGGGGGAATGAGGTAGAAACATGGAGTCCAGTGAAGGGGCTCATGAGCAATCCAGGTGAGAGATGGTGGCAGCTTGGCCCAAAGTGTGTCCATCTAGGCGATATATTTTTAAGGTGACCCGACAGGGCTTTCTGACGCATTCGATGTGAGCTAAAACAGCAAGAGAAGGTTCGAGAATGACTGTAAGTTTTTTGGCCTGAGCGACTGGAAGATTGGAGGTTTTTTGGGGGAGGGACTCACATGGAGCCTGGTGCCTAGCCAGAGCATTCTCAGTGCAGAATGCAGGATTCCCACATCTCTCTCTCACTTCTGTGTGTCTCCCTTCACTGACTTGTAAGCTCCTGTGAAGTCAGACGCTGTCCTACTTGTCATATCTCCTATAGCTCCCAACACAGCACTTTGCACACTTGTAGTTAGTTAACAAATGTCTGCCAGTTATTTTCGGAGAGTAGGGATTTAGAATCAATAAGCTCAAGGCCTCTAAATAATCTGAAATCCCAGAAATATGAAATGGTCTAATTTTCCATATTAATAGGGAAGGCCTTATACCTCTTGTGGTTTTTTCCCCATGAATGACTTGATATGTTTGTACTGTGCAGCATTGCATACAAAGTAGTTGTCCATTTTTTTCCAGATGTATGTTTTTCTTGTTATATCTTTGAATTTCAGGTTAAAGGAGATTTGACCACTTACCAGATGTCACCGTTCAATTAAATGAAACCAATCGGAATTATTCATTATTTTATTCAATGACAGTATATAAAATATATAATAACCACCGAACAAGGGGTTTTTAGTTTGTTTTATTGAGGGAGATGGGGGAGCAGATATTTGATGCAATGACTATGAATGTTGCTGGGAGTCTAAAAAGACACGCCTAAGCTCTACAATAAAACCAGGTTAGGGATCGCAACTCTAAATTAAACCTGCAGTTCTCAGCACGTTCTCTGCTGCGGGGCCATCTGTAGACCGTCTTGGTGCAAAGAGCCTCCTGGATCGTACATCAAAGCAGCCCACTTAGGGTCCTAGTTCTTCTGGAAAACCTCTAGGCCAGTGCTGGGCAGCAGACTCCCAAGGACCCCCGTATTGACGGCGGGACCATCGGTCCAATTGCCTGATATTTTTATGAACAGCTTTTTATTTCCCAAATGAGTGTGGACACATGTGGAGCCGAGCATTAGGCAGTGTCTATCCCAGAGAGAACTTAGCAAATGCTTAGGGTTATGTTCACTTACACATGTCATGGAAAATTGAGTGGCAGCTCAAAAATATTGTGTGGTTTCATAATAGTACCGTGAGGAGGAGTATTGATTGCACTTGGTCTCCACCGTGTGCAGATTTCAAAGGTGGCTGAAAATGGAATAGATTTTCACGGGCTCATGAACATGAGCAACCTGATCAAGGCTGAGCTTAGTACTTAAAGTGATGATTAATTAATTAGCCTTTACAGCAGAAGTATAGGCTTCAGGCCCTGGCCAGTATGCTTAGTGGTTAGAGCATCAGCCCTCCCACCAAAGGGTTGTGGGTTCAATTCCTGGTCAAGGGCACGTACCCGGGTTGTAGGCCTGATCCCCAGTGGGGGGCATGCAGGAGGCAGCCAGTCGATGATTCTTTCTAATCACTGATGTTTCTCTCCCTCCCCCTTTCTCTCTGAAATCAATAAAAACATAGTAAAAAACAAGCAAACGGTCTGTATGTGTAGAAATAGGTGGATATATTCTCAGTATGGGTAGAAATACATTTTGCAGGCTCCACCATTCTGTACAATATTTGTGTGAAATGCCTTATTCTGACATGGCTTACATCTAGATTTAAATGCACACTTGCCTAGGAAAACATGTTATCTGATATTCCTGTCTTCATAGGTGCCCAGCATTTAAATGCTATGTCACCAGCTCAAGAGAATTAAGGACCCGAAGGCAGGGGAAATTGATGTCTAGCAAGAGTGGCGACGATAAGTCACGCTATGCTGCGTGGAAAAGTAGAAAGCATCCCTCCCGATCCTTACAGTGCTTGGCTGAGAGCTATACACTGGGTGGCAGGAGAAACCGATTAACTGTCTACTCTCAGGCATATAGTACGGCTCGTGCCACGAGACCTACGATATTTAGTAGCTGGTCAGCATCTCAGAAAAAAATTACAGTTATCTTAGGAATATCATTGATAGATTAAGGCTCTGAGGGATCCTGGGGAATAAAACCTGACATGACTCGTGTTCTCTCCTGTGCGTCGTGCTGGCTTTCGTTGGAAGTCTTTATTGAACAATTAAAGTGNCATGACTCGTGTTCTCTCCTGTGCGTCGTGCTGGCTTTCGTTGGAAGTCTATTGAACAATTAAAGTAAGCAAAAGATGAGCTAAGCAAACAGGAGGAGGAGATGTAGGAGCCTGCAGAATTAAATACCTGCTGAGGTACTTGTCCGTTCAGCAGCTTCGGTTGCTTAGCTCTGGGCCCCCCTGAATTCAGTGGGGATGCAGAAGCAATATAAGAGCGGGGCCTGCTCTGCAGAGGCAGTGACCAACTGGAGATGCGGCCCCGGAGCACGCGGAGCCTTTCAGCGGCAGAGCCCGGGAGTGCCGTGATGTGTGTGCCCAGCAGGTGGCTGGAAAGGACAGAGAAAGGGGACACGGGGCAGGGACGATCAGGGAAGGTTCGAGGGAGGGCCCTGAGCTGAGCTGTGGAGCCAAGGCGCTTCAGACCGAGCAGAGGAAGGGTGAAGGAGCAGGTTCCAGACCGAGCCGGCGGAGCTTTGAGTTGAAAATGAAGCCGAGGGCCTTGGGGGGGTCTGGGTGAAAAGAATTTGTGTGGGACACTGAGGAGGGACTTGGTTAGAAAGGCAGGACGTGGGCGGACCGTGACTGGTCAGGGAATCGGGAAGAGTTTGGGTTCATAACTGAGAGGGAGTGATGTCTCGGCCGAGTAGCCCACAAGCAGGATTGAGAATAGACTGGAAAGAAAAAATCCAAAGCAAGAAGGCCCGCCGGGGGCCGTACCCCGAGTTTCCAGGGATCCTTTGCCAAGAGAACACGGAAGTCATTCTGAAAAGGGACAGAAACGTGGGAGACTGAGCGAGATTCCGGGGAGGAGGCTGCGTTTCAGGATGATTCGGTTTCAGGGGCGCCGGTCGAGCCGCACAGCGGTGGCCTGCAGGTGTCCGGACTCGCAGCCTGGGACCCGGGTGACAGGCAGAGGCGCATCCGAGAAGCCGCTCCGTCCGCGGGGGGAGAGTCCAGCTTGGCGTGAAGCCAGCGCCCAGCCGAGGGGAGGGAGCTGCTCGTTAGTTGAGATGATAATATTTTAGATAAGATTTAAGAAGATTCTGATCGCAGCTGCTCGACATGAATGCCGTGCCGGGGGCCCGGAGCTTTCCTCCTGGGCGCCTGAGCGCGTGGCTTTCCTCGCGTGCCCGCGATGGGGGGTGCGCTGGCTTCCTCTCCCAGGTGCATGCGACTCGGGGTGGCTTGTGCTTCATTGCTGGAGAGGAGCTGATCTG